ACTAATATAATTTGATTTGACTTTTAATTTCAAAGCAAATTAAACATTTGCCCCTATGTCTGTACTTGCTAATAAAATATCATTTTAACATGAGAACCTGTGGTTAATTTTTATTATTGTGGCTTAAAGGTTCACTGTGTAATATTTCTGAGGATCTATTGACATGCAATATAAGATCCATAACTATGTTTTCAGTGGTGTGTAAAGACCTTACATAATGAACCGTTATGTTTTTATTACCTTAGAATGAGCCGTTTCTATCTACATAACCACGGGCACCCCCTCCTATGGAGGTCGCTGTATTTTGTCTCATGTTTCTACCATAGCCCACAACGGACAACAGCGCCACAGAGTGCGTTTCGTCATCAGGGCGTTCTTCTTCTTCTTGTATAATTCCGGTAATGTAGACGCCTGTCACTACACTGAATACGAAAGAAGAAGAAGAGGGAATAATAATAATAATATTAATATACAGTCTCTGAGTAGTCTTCTGGTTTATTAGAGGAAGAGGAAGAGAAGTAACATTTGGTAAATTGAAGGAGCACACGTGTTATTTAGCACGAGAGCCGACAGCCTGTATGTCTTTATACCATGAAGCCAGACAGTCGGGACAGATACAAACAGCTGATGGCAGAAATCAAGGATGTTGTGGATTTTCCCAGATGGAAGACCATAATGTGGGACAGATGTTTTAAAAGCGGTGACAGGTAAATAAGTTTGTCAGACTTTAGCGATGCAGAAGAAAGCTGTTGTTTGACGCTTTAGCTATTAGCTGGCCATGATCACGAGAGACTTGACATGTTTCCCCTGTCAGTGGTGTGAAATATGGATTAATTTCATGATGCCTACTTATTCTCCAGCCTGTGGTTTGGCTTTGCCGGTTATGTTAGCGAGACAATCAGCTGATCAGTAACGTTAATTGGCAATAAAACCATAACGTTAGCTTAGAGCATGGAAGCATCAGCCGGCTAAACTTTTATAGCACTGGTAGGAAAAAATGTAACGTTAGTTGGATTGGTTTATTCTCCAGCGCTGCTTTTGCTTGCGGTGTAAACTTCATGTAGTGACTCTCTCTCTCTCTCTCTCTCTCCAGCACTCTGTTTTGGCTTTGTTACATTCATGAGACAATCAGCTGATCACTAATTGGCAATAAAACCGCATCGAAGCTCAGATCAGCCAGCTAAACTTCACATTTTAGTGCCCTGGTGGAAAACATGTATTTCTTTTTACTGCTGATGGTGATATATAACAAGACCGTGTGCCTGTCAAGTGACCGATAATGAATACTTTCTGAATTTGCATTAAAAAAACTTATTGGATATTGCTTCCCACTGTGTAATTTTTACTTTCACATGCTAAATGCCCATTAAAAACGTTTTAAAACAAGCTGAAATGATGGCTGTCAGTACTACTTTGTATTTCTGTTGTATTTAAAAAAACATTTTGGTAATATTTGCATTTGAGCCTCGATCCTCACCTGACTATGCCTTTGTAAACTTCATGTATTATGTGGTTTATAATGGACTGTGGTGCAGAAACAGTGAGGCTTACATTGTCCTGTCATCTGTCAGTGGTCATACTTGATGCACTAGATGTGATAGTGTTTGAGAATTTCTCCATTTACTTTGGTATGTTAGTCCAGATGAGCCAGCCCTCCCAAGATGTCAAATAATGTATTACAGGAGTATGACACATCATGTAGCACTTCATTTCTTCATGTGGCTGTTGTTTATTAATTAACAAGTAACTATAATATTCAGAAAAACATGGTTTTACATAATTTCTTAACATATTTATTATTTATTTCTCAACCTTAATTTTGATTGTTGCTTATTTAGTCATATGTATTTTATGTTGCAGAGAAAGTATTAAAACCGAGATTCCAGGGGTTTCAAATTCTAATACACAAAATACCTATAATATTTCTATTTGATGGAAAGTACAGAATAAAAATCATTAGGTTTGAATAGTAGTAATTATACTGCTGTGATGTCATATACCTTCAATAACGATGTGACACAGAATTTATATGGTGGAGAGGTACTTCAGGGGGAAACCAGTATGTTAAGGGGTTAATGTAATTATTATAGATGTAATAGTTAGATGCCAGAAGTAAGTGTGTGAATGTCTGCTCTAGTAGCTGGATGTTGTTTCCAACCATAAATCAAATGAAAGAATCACGTGCAGCTCCCAGAGTAGGAGGACAGGCTGTGGTCCATTGACCGAGCAAAGGAGTGAGCTAACCCACATGTGTGAGTACGCACCAAGCCGTCTCTCCTGGGTCTGTGTGTGTGTGGGGGGGGGGGGGGGGGGGGTGTCAGGCTTGGATAGGCCGGCTGACCTGAGTAGATGTGACCAGCCTAAGTGTGTGTGTCTCATATCAGTGTGTCCTCGATCGCTCTCACTGTATGGGGCACTTTAGTCCATTCTTTACTTGCACCAGGAGGCACGCATACACACAAAGACACACACACATACACACACACACACACACACACACACACACACACACACAGATACAGTACACACTCCTGCACACATGTATGCACAAATACACGCACATACACATACACACACTGACTCAGTGTTTTGATGTAAACTCAAGTGGACGAGGGCTCCAGTCAACCACTCCACCCGTCTTTCTCCCTCTATCTTCCTCTCTTTTTTCCTTCGTCTTTCATTGCTTCCCTCCTTGTGACACTTTTAACGGCATGTCACGCAACCCTGTGCTCAAACACACACACACACACCATGCCGTGCTCTCAGCCCAACCTCTGCACCTTTGTCAGGGGAGAACCACTTAAGCACGCTCATATACACACACATATTCACGCACATTCATGTCTGATTGTCTCCCTCTCTTTTTGCACACACACATACAAGCCTTCACCACTTAAGCCGTCTTCCTTTCACCATCTCGTGCCCTCCACTCCTCTCTGTGTCTCGTCTGGTCTCGTGTGTGCGTGACTGTGGCTGGCTTTGGCAAGGGTGAATTAGCTCGGCGACCCAGTTTGGTACCAGAAGAGACAAGACGTCAGTGGAGGATATATTGAAGAGCTTTCTGCCCCCTTCCACTGCAAATCCACTTTGTGCTCTGGCTGTCGTGATGTAATGGTAAATAAAATACAGGGTAAAAACATCACCTCCAGCTGAGGATTATCATAAAACAAATTAATTCTATTTTTAGATGCGTTTATGCTTTTTCCAAGATCCTATCTTTATAACCTCAGATACCTTACATCAGTGTGTTCAAATCAGCCTTAAATGTGGATAAAATCATTTCCATTAGCACAGACCTGAGGAGATTTTTCCCTCCACTCTTTTCTTTGCTTTCTTTATGGGCTGTTTTGCATTTCTGTGCTGATGCTAATTGCCTGCAACTAATTATAGAAAGTCTGTAAGTGGCCCTCTGAACCGGACACACGCATGCACATATACTCCACTTCCTACACATTTAAAAACATTATGACAAGGAACGCTTACTCCGTGTGTGTGTGTGTGTGTGTGTGTGTGTGTGTGTGTGTGTGTGTGTGCGCGTGTGTGTTTGTTGGGAGGTGGAAGAGGGTACAGAGGAGGACGAGAGAACCAGTGTTGCGTGTCTCGTTCGGCTCGTTTAGCTGACAAACTGCTTTTAGTGTTTAATTATCCATCTCTCTGTGATTAATAGGTTTTAATTACTGTAACCCATGGCAACCTGAAATATGCACAGGTCTCTGCGTGAGGTTAGCCTATCAAAACCCCATGAAAAAATCAAAAAAGACAAAAACAAACAGAAGGTGGTTGAAAAAAAGAAAAGAGGACTGAGAGTCTTTGCATCTCAAATGTCTCACTTATTGTTCATCATCAGAAACTGCTGGCTGACACACGGCTACTTTCTCAGTATATAGGCTACCTACTTGAGAAAAGTGTTAGACCTCTGAAAACACTTTTGACCAGACCTTGAACTCCTTCACTTCATTTATTTTTTTTACATGATCCACAGCCGGAGCTTCAAACAGACTTTTTGATTCACTAGGAAGGTTAGAACCTTTCCAAATGCTGGTGTTGCTTCGAAGGCTTTTTACATTCTACAGACATTTCTGCTGAAGCTCTGAGCTCAGAGGAGACTTTTAGTTAAATTTAGTTAGTTTTAGATAAAGACTTTTAGTTAAATAATTGGGCAATTCTGATGCTTAAGTGAGATTTTTTTTTCCTAAATAGAAAAGAGGTTGTTAGACTTAATAAAAGCAACCAGTGTGTTCCAGCATCTTCAGCAGAGCAGATCTATCTTTGCTTCCATTCATACCTGTGATCCAGTTCACTTAGTCTGGACCAAAGAACAAATAATTATTGGTCTCTTTACTGCTGGACCGGTAAGTGTTCACACTGAACCAAGAGGTGTGAATTTGGTCTCAGAGGTACCTTACAATCTGGACAGTTTTAGTGATATGCCTCTCGTGTTTTGCTCGTGAAGTCCTAAACATACCAAACTGTTCATAAACGGTAAACTGCTGAACTTCACTTAACCCTGATTAACCTCCAGCTCTCTTCGGACAGTGTGCAGTTTCCCCTCATCACTCCATCCACCAACTCATCCTAATTCAGTGTTTTCCCTCAGTTTCTTTCTTTTTTTGCTGTATAGATTATTAAGGTGAGCTCCGTTTAACAAATGTATGTTTTTATTTTGCTACAGGAATTCATGCTCGGCTAGGTTTAAAATGCCCTCGCTGATATCATGTTACTGAATGATCTTGCAAGAGTACACAGATATTTTATATAGTTAGGAAATCACTTCCTTGATAGTTTAGCTTTTGAATTCACGCTAAAGTCACATGTACTATCACACAATCCCGTTATTGGTCTTCCACCACAAAGAAACCACACCAGACCTTGCTAGTCGTGGTGTGGTTCTTTGGTTTGCTTCACACCAGCCTAAACGAACTTCACTGGTTAGGTTTGAGTATCAATGGTACTATCAGTTTAATAGTTAGCCTACATGAAGGCACCATGAACCAACTTACCCACGCAGGAGTCTCTATGTTCTTCAAATCCAGCGGAGCACACACACCTCCCAATGGGCACCAGCCACTCCCCCTCAGCGCTGCAGTACATTTTGGGTGTGTCCCTCTCCTCTGCGTGATCCACACACTGACCCCTGACCTCCACTAGAGAGGACGAGTCGGCCCCCGTCACCACATCAGTGAACACCGCCAGGTTACGGCTCACGCCCACGCAGCGTTTGTAGTATACTCGCACAGAAGTGAGAGCGATGCAGGCGCCAATGTCCTGGAAAGCCAGGTAGAAGCCTCGCCTGGTCAGAGGGCCCACACCTCGCACCTGGGAGCAGAGGAGAAGGGTTTAACAGCTCACATACTTCAGGTCATCATGAGAGTGCTAACAATGTATTTTTGACAATGACAACGGAGATAAAATTTACTATAATGTATACAGTATAGAAGTCTCTTTCTTGTGGCAACAGGGCAACAAGCACAGAACAGTCTACGAGTCTATGAGAGTCTTTTTAACAACAACAACAACAACAAAAGACAGCACTAAAGGCCCTATGTGCTGCCAGATTTTATCAGGTGGAAATGTAGTTTCTTGCACTTGTTTGGTAATATCTTGACTCCAACAGACTCCATTGCAGCGGGTTGGGAGGAGTGACACAGCTCTGCGTCTCTATATGCAGTTTAAACAATGCAGTGCAATTTTGGTACTAGACAACTGCGCTTGTGCCACCTGGGAGGCAAGAACACTTTTAGGTGTCACAAGATACATCTAAAGGGTTATGAGAGAAATAACAGGAAAGACAACAAAACACAAATAAGACTTTTTCTGACATCCAAAAAGACTTCAAATTATAACAACAAATGACACTGCGCTCCTTTAACATTTTCACTCACAATGGACTAAATCGATTCAGCAGAACCAAAGATATCATCCTTTTATTCAGCGCACTCTACGTTACGCACAATGCACCCTGACAGCGCACAGTTCAGTCTTAGACTGTGTTATGCAAGTAATGGCTAAAGTAGCCTCGACCCGCTAGCCTAAAGCAGAGATGAGGCATTTCATTAGATTTCACAAAAGTCTACAACTTTTGACACATGCAGTAGCAAGTATTTCTCTATAACATTTAAACGGCATGACAGAATAAATGACAATCAACGTAAAAAAAAAAAGAAACACAGAAATCTCTCGGGTGAATCAACCAAAACTGATCATCTTTGGCAGAAAACAGCATGTATATGTACAACCAAATTATTATTATTATTTTTTGAAATACTGGATGGTTTTCCCTTTTCTAATATCTACAAATTATTTAAATCGTTTTATGGTGGAACAGTTCATGACAAGACAATGCTTCATTTTGAGGGGTTATAATCCAAAAAGAGAAGCACTGCCATACGACGTAAAGCAACTGCACGTTAATGACACTTTACTACCTTTATTGTGATCAGTGCCTGTGGTGACCTTAAAAAAATATACTTTCAGTACTGTACACGCTACACATTATACAGTACACGGGATACACGTACATATTTTTGAAACCTGTGTTTTATTGGACTTGCTAGAAACTTCTCCCACTTCTTCGTACTAAAAGTTCAAACTGTGGTTCCTGAAGAAAACAGGTGGGACAGTGTGAACACAGTTTTAATTTAATCTCTGGACTGAGGTTTGGTATTGTGCTTTGGCAGCAGCCATGCAAGTCATTAACACACAGTAACAAAACTTTTTTTAAGGTACTGGGACTTTTTAACATCAGGGTCACAAATGAGAGTAGGAACTAGTCTAGTTGTCTCTAATTGCCTTTTTAAAAACTACCTGCAGACACCACGGGCTGATAAGTCTAATATAAGGCCCTAAAAGCTTGGTAACGTAGTGACAATACTTACAGGGCTAGAACGGCTGTAGCTGGCAAGCCAACTGTTAACTCGCTAGCTGGCTAACCATACTCAATCATGATAGCTTTTTTTCACCACCTTGTGTCGTAAAGATCTTGAATTTGACTTGTGTTTTCAATGGTGCTATCACTATCTATCTTTTTCTCTTTGGTGACCCTGCCCCAGTGTCAGCCATAACCAAAAATAAATATTGTCCAAGAAAAAGACAAATCTACTCCTACTTCCTTTTAAGTGGCTAACACACCCCTCACTGTGAAACTTTGCCTAGGAAAATGTAAACAGAGGCTCCAGTCTGTAGCTGATGGTCTGGTTTGCTTATGTGGGTTATATAGAGCGGGCGGCACAGTGGTGCAGTGGTTAGCACTGTTGCCTCGCAGCAAGAAGGTTGTGGGTTCAAGGCCCTGGCCTTTCTGTGTGAAGTTTGCATTGTGCCCGCATAGGTTCTCTCCAGGTGATCCCACCATCCAAAGACATGCGAGTCAAAACTGAAAAAGTTCCCCAAAACATTTTGTGGACTTTCTTTGCCCTGTAAGCAAATCCACTAATTGCAGCAATTCCTTTGGAATGCCTTAACGCAGCAAAAAGCAAAGTACCTGCCTCCCCCATAGCTCTATTGTAATGATTAATTTTGTAATTTGTAATGAAAGCTGTGAGTCAGTTTGTGTTCACTCTGACATTATGGTCTGTCCTGTTTTTTCTTTCGAATCAGATTCCACAAGTGGCAGAAAGGAAAGAAAGTGGTTTTGTGGTGAGGTTTCTTTAATACTAGATACTGATTCTCACACTTCACAGGATGGATTTTGTATTTCTTCTACATTTGAAAGATGAGGGTATGCGGATGTACAGAAAGAATAGATCTAGTATGTTTTCATGTGTATGTGTTTTGAAAGGAGCTGAAAGACCATTGCTGCTGCTTAATTAGTAGCTTTGTTTATGAACTGATTTGATGGACTGAACACATTTTTCAAACTGACTCACCAAGCTCCTGATACATCAGCACTGTATGCTAATTAGACAGCTAATTATGAGTTTTGCTGATCTTTCAGGGCTATTATGGGGACAGTTTTTGTTGCTATTTCATGTAAATGCCAGGAATTAAACATATGTTCTGTAATCACTATCAGCAGTTGTCATTTCAGTTGCTTCAGGCATTTTCTTTCCTGCACTGTGTGCTAACATTTGTCAGCTGGGCACACACTGTATGGTTCCTGCTCTTTTGATGTCACTTTTCCTTGGGACAGTCATACATATTCATTCACAGTGATGGTGATATTAAAAAATGAAAGAATATGACTGTTACTATTATGTCCATTACCTACAGCTGTCTGTAACATAGTAAAGGTGCAGCACAGGTGATTATCTAATCTTACAGAAACTGAATTAAATGTCCAGAATTGGAACGTCCATTCACATTTTAACTGGGAGGACTATCATTTGCAGGGACTAGAGGAATTAATTTTAAAAAAAGCAAAATAAGATAAATAAAATATATAGGCTAAGGTAAGATAAGATTAATGTCCACTTTAAAGATGTGTAAAATGTTCATTAAAATCACGTTATTTTCAAATGTAGTAGGCAGGTAAAAATCAACATCTCTACTGTCAGGATTAGGCTGAGTGCAGATGCAGGTAAAGTGGAGTTGTGGACCCAAATGCAGATGCAGGCATGCAGGTTGCAGATTTTGTAATTTATTTAACTGAACAAAGTCCAAACAAAAGTAACATAGTATCAAAGAAACATAGTCTACACAAGATAATCCAATGATCCAGCAGAAATAATCCAAGTACGCAGGCAGGTCAGGTCAGGTGAGTAACAGGCAGAAAACTCAACATGCGACGAGGAGTCTATAAAGACTGAACAAAACTGAGCAGGTGCAAACAAGCAGGGAGGGAGGAACTAATCAGAACAAACAAGAAATAAGTGAAACAGAGACAGGAAACAGAACACTGCAAAATAATACAGGAAGTAAAGCACGTGACAACAAAAAGTACAACAGAACACAACAGAGAACGCATGCTTTACATGCAGCCGGGAACACATGAGGCAAGGAGTGTCAAACACTGGGAATAGCATAAACAAGGATAAACAGGAACAAATAAACAATCAAAACCCAAAACCATGACACCATCCTAACGTGCAGGTTTCTATCAGAAAAGCCGAACAAGCTTAAGACGTAACGGTTGCCGGTACAGTTATGTGATGGGTTATGCATCCATGGACGCAGACATCTGCAGCTGAAACCTGCTGTTAGGTTTTAGATTGGGCTTTCTCGAATAGAAAATCTAAAGGGTTTGAACTAATAAATCAAGCGTTGAAGACAGCAGCCACTGTGAAGCAGTATACTTGTAGTATTGCCTGAATGTTCACACTTTAGCACTACAGGCAGAACAAAAAAGGATAAGATTATGCAAAGGGTTAATTACAAAGCCACTGTGCCAACAAACCACAAACTAATTTAAGTTTTTTTGTTTCCTATAGCTAACTCAGGATTAAAGTAACAAATTCAGAGTGTACAATGAATTGTACTGTGTCTTTCATATCGTCATCTTTGTAACAATGTAAGGTATCAATAAAAGAGTAGCTCCACTATGCAGTATCAAATTTGAAGCTGTTATCAATATCAAAGTATTCCCCATGATACTGAACTGAGCCCTACTGTTTGTTTTCTTTTACAGATCTGCAGAACCGAGCACAAAACAGAAACGCTCCACAAAAGAACTCTCCAGGGCTGTGGATGTTTCCAACTTGTCTTGAACTCCTGTGGAGGAGTACGTGATTGAAATTAGAATTAACTTTACAATCCAAAGTGAGATACTGCTTCACAGAGCCTGGACAGTTGTTTACCCGTTGTATCAATCAGAATTTGTGTTGCAGTTTAGTATCATAGCTCGTACCTCAGTGTTGAGTTTGAGTCTGCGGACTCCTAGGTCCACCCCGGTGAAGCTCTCGTCAGCAGCGATGGTGTCAATCTTTATGAACTGGTTCTCCCGTATGGCCGAGCCTACCGCTCTGTCAGACTCGTAGTAGTACAGGTTGAAGGTTTCCTGTGAACAAACAAGGGTAGTGTGATTACTGTATGTGTGTATACAGTGAATCAGATTATGCTGAAGACCTTCAAGAAACTTTAGGATGCCTCCTCAGTTTGTATAAGCAAGGCAGCTCTGCACTGAACAAGACCAGGTCAGGCAACCCTGAGTCAGTCAGAGGGCTAAAATATACTCAAAAACTACAGTACATTCCCATAAAATACAGCAGTGTGTATGTGTGTGCATAAAAATCAAATCCCTCATTCTTTATCTCTGAGTAGGCCTCTCCCTGGCTCAGCTTCCCTGTCCTGTGCTGGACCGTCTGCTTTTACTGATTGTACAGCTACATATGCACGAACATCACTAATAAATATGACAATATTACAATAATCCATTCTCTAATTTTAAAAACACACTGCCCCTGCGCATCACCTCCACAGCTAATATACATAAAGACTTACAGAGATTCCTCGGTTAATTTGGCACATTTAGCTGCCTCTTATGCCAACATTTTTTCTTCTTAATTCTTATTTTTTCAGCATCACACATTTCTTTTCCCTCTTTCACTCTCTTCTCCACATTTACCGGCTCTGTTGAGCCTATCACACAGCCCTTCTGCCCCGATGAAATGTTTGGAGATTAAACTCACTCGTACATCCCCTCCATATTAAAAGTATTGGTTTGGCCGAGTCACACACACAGACAGCTTTCGCTTCAGGTCTGCTCCCGAACGCCGCAATGGCCAGTCCGCCCCTGCTCATAGTCCATCAATGCAAAGTTGTTAGCTACGTAAAATAGATAATAGATCAGAAACTAAACTGGCATCTCCTTCTGGCATGTTTAATGGTTATTGTAGGTATCAAACTGCTTCCTTGAAAACCAAAGTGGATTACAATCAGATTTCATGAGATTGATCACAAAAGTAAATGGCGCCTATTTTGTTTTCACCTGAATTTAACAACTTTAGCAACAGTATTTCATTAGGCCAGCACTGTATTTAGATTCAGTTAGTAAGGCAAACTCACAAACTGAGCTAGTGCAATTTAAAAAGAAGTATTGATGTGTAGCCTGCCGCACTGACACCCTGCAATCAATATCTAACTGAGACCATGCAAATGTCCATGAGTTACGTCTTCATTTGTACTTTGTTTTTTATATGTAGCTGTGACCGAACCCTTAAAAGAGCACTCCACTGATTTAGCATAGCACTCCTATAACATTGTCAATATGGACAGTTTAACGCAACTCTGTCACCAACAGTTCAGATTAACTTTTGTAACTAGGTTCGGGAAACAAAGACCCCGCCTTGAACACATCTTACACAAAAGTATTTATGCCCTCTTTCCCAATAATGTTCCTCCCCTTGCAGACCTCCTCTATATATTTATTGCCATGATCTCTGTTAGTGAATCAGAGATTTGTATACAGCACCACCACTCAGCCTTGCTGCGAATTTTTATCAGTGGCCAACCATGATCCTGCAGTAAAAAAGTCCAAAAAACATTTTCCCATAGATCAACTTTATAAAAACTGAAACTTTTAAATAGACACATGGAAATGCAAACACGCTTAATTATTATGCTTAGTATTATGCATTTTTAAACCATGAGGGGTTTATATTTGTAAAAGCATAGAAAAGGGATGTTTGTGCGCGTGACATCCCAAAGTTTGGGCCAAGCCGGCGGTAATGCGAGTAGACAAACAGTATGGAGGTAAGCTCACTCCTTTCCACACCAACAGATTTCACACTGAACACAAACATTCCCATAGATGAAAAAAGCATGCTTTGTATTTGCTATTGTTTGCTCATGGCACTAACTTCACTGAGATCCAACAGGTTTTTGATATTTAGGGTTCTTCAGATTGATGAAAAGTTATGCAGTCATCATAACAACACATAAATATTTAACTTGTTGAAGACTAAATTATACCCAAACGTCACAAGAACAGGCCTTTTCGACTGTTTTCGGTCAGTTTCACATCTATTTCCCCAAAAGATTTGTTGGTCTATATTTGGTCATTCAAATGAACTCACCTCCCAGCCTTAGCTGCTAAAGGTTCTCATTGTCTCACCTTTCAGATGGTGATAATTATTTGTGATAATAAACGTACTGCAAGGCTTTGCTAAAGTTTTAGCATGCACACCTCAGAGCTTTCTACCAGACACAGACACTGATTTTTGGTACCATTGTTCTTTTCCCACATTAGGTAAAGTTAGCAGTCTGTCAAACTCCCAAAAGTCTCAAAAGTCCTTGAAAGGAAAAGTATAGTTTCCTAATTACGTTTATATTCATTTTGAATCTTTGAACTCTGTGTAGACTGTAGACTTCATCTCAGACTGTGATTTTTAAATGCTAACTATATACTCTAACAGAGTACAAGTGCATTTAAGCCCTATTTTGTACAGCCATATCTTTCTCCCACACAGTTTTAGCTTAATTCCCACTCTCTCCCTCCACTAGCTTACCCTCTCCTTCTTGTCTGAGTGTTACCTTGCAGGTGCCCAGTACTCCAGGCATGCTGTTGCAGTCTCTCAGGGTGAACTTGACCTCGATGTAGATCCTCCTTGCTCCTTCTCGAGGGATCCAGGCCGTCCTCAGCCAGTTGTTCTGGCTGGGGCTCATCACGTTACAGACCTGATTTAGAGTAAGTGTTATGATCAGCAACATGCTGTACTGTATCATCAAGAAAAACAAACATTGCGGCTATATGTGGTTTATTTTCTCCTTAGATTTTTGGAGTGATGTCATTCGCCCGTCCTGCAGCTGGTAGTTGCTCTTCACAGCAGCTAATATGTATTTAGATGATTAAGCCTAAGCTGACATTAAGACAAACCTGCACTGGTAGACGAGTTGAAATGGGTTGAAATCAGAAGTGTTTCCTGGTTCGTGCCATTCAGCAGTTCAATATATTTTTCACCAAACTCAACCCAGTGTCACGCAATGGAAAATGTGGCGTAAGTGGTGGACGTAGATATATGTGTGTGTGTCTTATGTTTTTATGTTTCTGCCGGGATTTTAATGTGCACAGATGGGGGAAGAGAAACATTTTGAAGAATAAGACTTGGTTTAGGGTTCAGGTTAGAATTAGGGTACAGGTTAAGGTTAAGGTTAAGGTTGTCATCTGATGTAGATGTGAGGGTTAAGTTACGGCAAGAATCCACTGACTCCGGCTACGGCGCATTACGGCCGTGCCACGTTTTCGATCCATCCTCAGCGCAGCGTCAAAGTCCACTGCAAACATCAGCAGCAGAGCGTGCAGCCTGCCCCACGTTATTGACTTGTTAATGACTGACTGATTTAATTTGTCAGTTTTGTGCTTCTGCTACCTTCTTCACAGCTCTATGTGCCCCCCTTTCGTTACGTCAACTTCAGGCTGCCTATCCCACAAGGAAGGAGCCTTTCAGAATAAGAGCATTTTGCCTGCCTGATTTTGCTGACATGTTTAGATTTTGTTGATTTGGTAATCAGTGCTTGCTTTTTGTGCTTCTACTATGATTAAGTAGGCTCCGCAGTTAAATTATTTCTTTTTGTGTCAGTTTTAACCATGTTTATTGTTGTTTTACGATCAGAAGTCTCTATGCCGTTCTGTGTCTGACTTCCTGCCTGGTTGAATCTGCTCTGTGCTGCTTGAAGTTTTTTCACACGGGAAGCGACACTCCGCCTGTGTAGCCAGGTGACTACAGGCGGAGTGTCGTATTATATTATATATATTATTCATATCCATATAGCTGATAAATCTAGTCAAACGCCTTGCTGTTAATGTCATAATAACTGTTCAGTGAAGTCACCGACGGCGAGGATCAGTCTCTCATCCATCTTTTTGTTCTGTGCGTTGCATAGAGAAAGTTCAAGTCAATTCAACTTTGGCAGGGCCTGTCGCAGTGCCCCCGTCTCCCTTCCTACACGCTCGCCTCTGATTGAAAATGAATTTAGAGGCGCCATGTGAAAAGGCCTTGACGCGGCTTGCGTCAAAAATAGACCTGCTACCTATTCTCTGCAGAGCAGAGAGCTGCTTCTGGGACGCACTGTGGCCGCTTCTGCTGGACTCACAAGCATTGACTATAATATCCGCGATTAGCTTCGACAACTGCGCCGTAGCCGTAACGCGCCGTAGCCGTAATGCGCCGTAGCCGGAGTCAGTGGATTGTAGGGGTTAGTGTAAGGGGCTATGGAAAGCATTATGTCAATAACATTTCCCCAGGAGGAAAGATGAACAAACGTGTGTGTGTGTGTGTGTGTGTGACTCATTACAAACCATTACAGTTTTATAACCCTTTAATGAAACGCTAAATCATCAGTTAATCGAGTGTTTTCCTCACCAGAGTGTTTCTATAATCCTGGCTATGGTGCTGGCTACCATGTGTGACATAATTATAGCCAAAAACTGCTGCAGAAATGAGTGGCCGCACACCAGTGTCGTTATCCAGGATTTGAGATGGGATTTCTCACCAAATCTACTCTTCTTGTTACCGTGGAAAGAAACACTTTTTAACCATGTGTGTTCATGTGAGCTAAAGACTATCACATGTAAAGAAACAAAACCACCTTCTCAAAACCACAACTCTCATAAATCCTTAAGTAAAACTTTGACCACTGAATAAAGTTGTCTCAACTTTGGTACACCAGCAGGAATTAATCTTGATTTATTTTATTTAATTAAAGTTATTACCATGTAATCTAGCAAACACAAAAAAATAACTGGTGATTATCCACAGCTTGTGTTTTAAAATCAAACATAATTTACGTTAAAAAACAGTTTTCCTTAGACCAAAGTGAAATTTTCTTATAAAAATCTCTTTTAATAAAACATTCCACCCAAACGCATGCTGAGAAGATTACACACCTGGTATGTGTGGATAGGACTGAAGTACTCATCCATCTCATTAATGGCATCCCACTGTGCAGGGAGAAAGAGAGAGGGAAACATTATTGGGTCAGTCACATGTTCACACGTCTCCACGTTTTTCAGATTCATAGGCAGCTGCTGTCTGTATTTCCCACAGGGTCATCCGCACCATCGGAAGATTTTTAGCTTTGACTTCAAATAAAGCACATGACGACTCCTGTCAGGCTAGTTTGGCAGGTGTATGGTCTGCTATATTTAAATTTTAAATAAGACAAGCATTATGGTTAAGTTTCCAGATAATTGGTGGTGATAAACTTCATTATGTGTATAACTGAGCTGGAGTGATGCACACTTTGACAGTCAAAAAGAAACTGTAGAGATAATAATAATATTTGCATGAGGTTAAAAAATCCCCTTCACATTCTTTGTCTAAAAGCTTCATTTTAAAATCTCTGGCATTCTGCTGAGCAACAGTTATCACATGCAGTCATGTGTTCAACATTTCAGCGTGTTGGATATCACTACATGTAATTCCAACAGGATACATTTTCCTTTAATGAGATGCCCCTCATGTATGTGATTTACACTGTTTACTGAATGCCGCCAGCACCTACTACTGTAGCTCCAGCGCCAGGAGGAAACTCAATCTCAGGGAGAAGACTGTTCCACGCCTGCTCTGTGGATATTGTAAGGAGATATGAGCTGTTCTCCAAAAGACCTCTATCTGTAGATGGGGAACCCAGAAAATACCCAGATTTCATGTAGTAGGCCGCAGAGGAAGGTTACGTTTAAAATTCAGATGTATTTGAATCCATCAGTGTGTATCTACGCTGGCACACTGATGCAGTTTAGGACAAGATGATTGAAAACAATGTGCCTACCCAACATACCAGTCAGTCTATTTTAGCTCATTTACTCACAAACAGTACACATGTAAACAAAGCATTTACATATTGCATGGATTTGCCTTTCATTTTACAAAGACAGACTTGAAACACTTTAACTGTCAAGTCCTACATAAAAAGTCAAATCAATCAATCTGAAATTGTCTAGTACTTTACATTTATGTCCAAATTCCTGCAGAACTAATGAAGTTGTCGTGGTTAACAGTCTTAATGGACAACCTGGTTAAAAACCTGTGTAACGTCTGGACAGCTGACTGCGGCACAGAAACACATTACACATTCTACTTATGGTTGTCATTGTCAGTGCAAATCCAGTTGCACAGTTATATGGTACATTAGAAGTAACCCTCCACAGCTCAGTCATAGAGGAAATAAGCATGTTCTGTCAACTGGTTTATTCATGGTAACATGAAGACTCAATTGCACAGTGTAAGAAGTTCATGCAAACAGCTTAACCCAAACTGCAGGGGCTCGATAAGAGGATTCCTTCCTTCCCTACTTCTGTTGAAACAGGACAACAATAGGATATTAGTTAGTATGAGAAATAAAGATTGATTTTACAAAAGGGGAGCTGAGGTGTGTATATATATACAGTGAATTTCCCACTGTGGGATCAATAAAGTCTATTTTATGTTGCTCAGCTGGTAGGCTATCTAGCATTACCAGTCATTGACACAGCTGGAGTGCTTGGGGCCACAGTGTTTACAGAATGTTATTGTTCATCAGTGTGGATACTCACATCGTCTTAAGATGGGAGGAGGCAGCTGGTTGCCCAAAATCACATTTGATTGGATAACATTGTGTATAGTCCCCCAAGTGGAGGTCATCGTCATATTTCAGCGTTTAAATGTAAAAGAAACTAGGTTCATCTAAATTACTCAGAAATGCTGATTTTTACATATATATGGCATATACCAAGAGATAACAGAACCATTACTCGGAAAATGTACATAATAATATAACTTCAAGCGTGCCTGAAGGATGGAAAAACCTGGATGACCTACAATTTTTTGAAACCAAAGTTATTGTACTTGGCCCCAAACACCCCTGAGATGCATTATCTAAATACATAGTTACTCTGGATGGCATTGCCCTGACCTCCAGCACCACCGTGAGGAATCTTGAAGTTATCTTTGATCAAGACATGTCCTTTACAGGTCCAGTGTGTAATATTTAGGAGGATCTATTGACAGAATTGCAATATAATATGTTTTTATTTCCTTAAAATGAGCTATTTCTATCTACATACATAGTGGGTCCTCTTACATGGAAGTCGCCATGATGCCCCATCATGTTTCTTCAATAGCCCAAATGGACAAACTACTCTATATTAATGCATGTTACTACAGTAACTCCACTTCTTCCCTCTCCCGTAGTCTTGTGCTTTCTCATCCCTCTTCTCTCTCCTTCTGTCGCTTTCTGCAGGTGGCTCCTGAGCTGTGGAGTCTGGATCTGTGGTTGCGGGCTTCCTGCTGCCTCCATATTCCTGCTTAGTCCTATTAAAATATTATTATCATTAATATTATTATCAATAATTAGTACTATTATTAATATTGATTGAATTGAATACTGATGTCTTTAACACTACTACCTTTACTGTTGTTTTACATTTCTTTGTGGATATTGCACTGGGCTACTCTCTCTCTCTCTCTTTTTTTCTCTCTTTTTTTCTTTCTGGCGGGTCTCTAAATGCAATCAATAAAGATATTAAATTACACAACAGATGTTGACTTAAACCCACCCTGCTTCCCCAATCAAATCAGCCAACAAAAAGTCTTAGCTGCTTTAATTTTGACCACCTTTTTTGGGGCGTGCAATACAAATCACATGAGCACCCCTTTGAGACAGTTGCCATTTAATTGTGTTTTTAAGGTGTGGAAGAAAGGAAGACCCCCAAACCAGCATTTTATCTAAGGTCCCAAAAACACTAAGGCTGTGTGTTAATGTAAAGCAGGCCGCTGCAGGAAAACAGAATGGCAGTCATCTCCTGGATGAAAAAAGCAATAATGAAAAAGGAATATCTCAGTGGATGTAAACAGAACCAGTGACTCATTCTGTGCCAAACTATATGGCTTCCTCCTCTACCAAGAGAAAAGCAATTCTCTCAGTCTCCCTCCTTCTGATGGGCTGCAGCGAGGATTACGGGTGAAGGTGTACTCGGTACTAAAAATTGTTATTCATCACATTAAAATCTGGTGCTCTCTCGAATCATGGTCACAATACATTTCAACCTCCAACAATATACTGCATTGATTATTTCGTTTCAGTGTAAGCATAGCCAATTTGTGTGCATGTATAAATGAATATGTGCATATGTGTTTAACCCCGATGACACCCGTGATCCTCCTGGGCTGTGGATCCTCGTGCGAGTGGTGGGGTAATTGAAAGGGAAAGTGTCAACCCCGGGAAGCTTTGGGCCACGGCCAGCTGAACTCGACCACGGATAACTCGACTGGGCTTTGCATGGAAGCCCTCCAACCACTCTCCTCAGCCCCAACTCTGCCTGCCCTCCCATCCCCCCCACTTCCCCAACACACACACTCCCCTAAGCACCACCAGCCAAAAACCACTGGGATAATTAAGATGTAGGAAGTCTCACCCATCTCGCCCTTCCCTCTTTTCCACATCCTCTCATCTTTATCAGCTAAATTGAAACCGTCCTTGAACTTGTGAAGACCTCGGCTAATTAGTGGGGTGTATAACCTCTCTATCTCCCTCATTATTCCCGTCTTGCCATCGCTGCACTCTCAATCTCTCATTTTTTTCTCTTTCCTGGCAAAGATTTTTCCTCCTTGTAATGTTGTCCAGGAGTGAAAAATCCCAGCGTCTGAAGGCAGATTGTCAGGAGGTTGAGAGCTGTACGGCGATCGAGGAGGGGATGAGATTGGTTGAGATTGGCTGTTTAAGTCATGATGTAAATAATGGAAATCTTTTATGCTTCTCCTCAGTAGACGGACAAGGAGGAAAAGAAGTCAGAGAGATTCAGCAGGGCATGTTTATCTTCTGAGAGAGCGATAAGAGAGTTTCATATCGTGACAACAACAGAAACACAGTGCTTTACAGAGCGACTGGCTGACAATGCTGTGCGGGTGTGCACATATATGTGTGTCTGTCAGACAGACAGAGAGAGAGAGTAAAGTACAACAGAGAGAGAGAGAGAGAGAGGAGAAATTAATTGGCTGTAAATTGCACATCTGTTTCCTGCCTGTCAACCCATCGGATCTCTCATCAGGAGAAATCAATTGTGGCAGACAGAGAGCAAAACTTATTCCTCGCACACACATACATAATCACAACAATGTATCACATATGCAAATACAGTGCAGGTACACACAAGTGTATGAAAATACAAGTCTATCAACTATACATACACATAATAAATGTCCCTGAATACATTAGTCAAACGCTGGATGTTTCAAAACTGACTTGCCTTGTACAGCCTTGCAATTAGTTGTGTGAATTATTAATCAGCATAAATACAAGGGACCAACAAAATAATTTACATTTTACCACAAGGTCCACTTACTGGAAGTTTTCTGGGGCTTTCAGCCATATCTCACAGCCTCATTTTTCAAAACAAAGCAAACACAAATCTCCTACATCTCATTACACTAAGCTTTGGCTAAGATTTTTAACCACAAAGTGTGTAAATCACACATGTCAAACCAAAACTCTAATAACTCATTCTGTAAGATTACATTTTTGGAGTTAAGGGTGCCCTGCACAGTTATGTTATGTTCCTTAGCAAAAAGAATTATGCAGTGTTTCCCACAGGATTTAAAGAGACTATAGTGGGTGGACCTCTGACCCTCTCGGGGGGTCTGGGGGCATGCCACTCCGGAATGAAATTTTGGACATTTTAAAGTCAAATGCATTCATTTGGTGCAATATTAAAAAGCCCACTGAGAACTTTGCACTCTTGTAAACAATGTTGTGCTCTAGTAAACTATTTGATCATGAACCCATTGTAGAGCTATAAATGGTGATGAAACAGCAACAAAAGTCAACAAATTAACACCTATTACAACACTAATACTGTGTTTGACCCCCTTTCGCCTTCAGAACTGCCTTAATTCTACGTGGCATTGATTCAACAAGGTGCTGAAAGCATTCTTTAGAAATGTTGGCCCATATTGATGGATAGCA